AAAAATAGTTCCATACCTGTTGTGACTTCGGAAAACATGGAACATATTCTCCCCTTCCCGTAAACAAAGGGAACATCTACAGGGTTGTGCAAAAAAATCTAAGTTTACCAAAACATCTGGCAATGGCATGAGTTTATTAAAAAGCTTCCATAAGAAAAAAGAAACTTTTGATGGAGCAAATTTATTCCAGAAGTTTGCAACAAGTGGAACCACTCTCTGTGTCTGACGGAATTCTGAATATGCTGAGGCTATGGTAAAATCACCATGAGATGTTGGCATCCATACTCTTTTGTCCTCCATAAGCGATAAATTCACTTTTGTGCTTTTCAGTTACTGGAGAACCTGGGACTGGAGATTCTTAAATGGGGGGTCATTCAACCAGTAGATGAACCAAATCGGACCAGAAGGCAGCCAACTGTCAAACCAAAAGGAGACCACCCTTCCCAAGAATCACAGAAGTGATTGGACTAGTTTTAAAATCCACTTTTAAAATTCAACTCCAAGTGATTGCTTATAGTTTAGACATTGGCAAAGTAACAACAACAATTACTAAAAAAGAATAAAAATTGTGTTAACAAAATTTAAAACAATTCATCGTCGTGGACTAAATAAATTAGCACTTTTTCCTATTTCAAATGATTATCTAATTTTTATATTATTTTTACTATCACAAACAAAATAATCATTTTAGGCTAGATCGAGTAAAATATATATTTCGTAACTTATCTATGAATTACAAGAAGTTAAGGAGGAAAGACTTGTCTTAGCAGTTTTTTTTTTAGAGTTTTTCGTAACCTATTAATTTTCGTATTTATTTCAACTCGATTTTTTCTACCTCATCTTCTTTACTTTTTAAACTTTTTTTTATAATCTATGAAATAAAAAGTAAATTAATTAATGAAATTTAGTAATTATACTAGTAGCAACAGACACAAGTCAAGAAGTATAAGAAAAAGAATAGTAAATAACAAAAAAAAATTAATTAAAAATTTTAAAAATATGAAAAAATTACTTCTAAACCAAACTCACATGTTGCACATGAAAAATAGAGTTTGAGAATAAATACTTATTATTTTAAAGATCTTATAATATATTTTGATGGTTATAAAAAGTAGTAAAGAGAAATAAAATAAAATAAAAATAATTAAGTAATTAATGAAAAGAGATTATTTTGTTGATTTTACATATTTTGGGGTTATTTTTATAATTTTTTGATACTATTGAGATATATTTTTGTTAAAAATTAACTGAAATTCCTTAAGTTTAATGAATTATGGGCCAATTGGATGAAATTGACAAAAATTTCAAACGTAAAGGACAAAATTGGCTAACCAAAAATCAATGGGGTAAAATTAACGACGCGGTTAAAACTTTGGGTACAACCGTCATTTTATCCGTAATGGAATGTCAGCGGAGGTGTTAAATCTAACGGAATTTTTGTCAATTAGATGAAATTGGCCAGAAATTAAAATTTAGATGATGAATTTGGGTTCGCAAAAATCTTTTTGGGTCAAATTGGCTGGATACTTAAAGCTTTGGACAAAATTAACCAATTTCTCTAATTTTTTCAGTTTAATCAGGTGTGTTTAGGTGTATTTACCTATGATGCATCCTCATTGTAATCCTACGGTTGTTAATTAGTCTAATTAATCCTACAGTTATTATCTTAAAATGGAACCATCCTGTAACAGGACTCTAGCCACTCCCACATATATATATATATATATATATATATATATATTATCATGTTATTAACCATATATATATATATATATGGTTAATAACATGATAATAATTTTAACGGAATAAAAACATGATAATTTCAAACATAAACCGAAATAGTACTTAAGTGAAAATCTAAGTTAATCTTCATATGTAATTTCTTATTTTGAGTATTTATTAATTATAAAATTGTAGGGACCTATATTTACATAAGTGATTTTTAAAAAATTATTATCTTATAAATTAATTGAATTTTTTTATTTTTTGTACAGGTCTCGAAATGGGACCGGAGAAAAGTATTATTTAATAGAAGTTATTAATTAAAACAGGATTAATCTAGGAAGAGTTTACAGTATTTTGTATTAAATTTTTCTTTATATAAAGTGAACAGTTACTCTGTATATGTTACCTCGCACACTTAAATCTTTAGTTTCTAGGAAAAATCAATATTTTCCATCAGTACTCTCGATGAAATATTTAGCTATATGAAATTTTTCTCTCGGTTCTCATAGTCATAATATTTTCCAATTATAAACGATGCACTAGAATTATTCATATCACCATATATTCAAAATAAAAAATTAGAATACATGTACTACTTATTCTTTTTTTTTGGGGGCTACAACTTGTTACTTATCGTTAATGAATATGTTTCCATTCTGAAGTACATCTATATATATATATATATATATATATCTTGTCTTAATATATATTAAAGAAGAGTTTTCAATCGGACACATGGTACAAAATTAAATAGGTTAATCCACATGGCGAAAAGTTAGAGCAATTGCTATATTATTTATGTCCAGTAAATAAGGAATAATTTTTTTATGTATAAAATACATTTGGAACCAAATTGACGTAACAAACCTCATCAATTCTAGAATTCAAATAGAGATTAGATTTTATTCAGTTCAAAATCTTTCATACCCATTTAATTTGAAAACCCAATTTTTTTTTTCAGAATAATAATCAATCTAATTTTAAAAACCCATTTCGATGACGCTAAAGTTTCTTGAATGCTGCAATTGCCGGCCGGCTTCTTCTCCAATGTGCGCCGACCATCAGCAATACCAGAGATTTTTGTACGTTGCAATCGACGGCCGATTTCTTTGCCACTGGGTGCTGACCATCGATTAATTTAATTGTCATTGGCGTTGTCTGAATTTGCCACCTGGTCCCGATGATTTATTGTTGGCGATTGCCGTAGATGGCCAAAACCGATGTCCGCCATAGCCATCGGCCGCTGATTTTTTCATATCAATGGCTCAGAGAAGGTTGGTATTTATTTTTTATGTTGAATTTAGGTGAGTAGTGAGTGTTTTTGCCAATGGAATTCTATTGTCGGCTTTATTTTTTTTTTCTCAATTGGGAGATTAATATATTTATTAAGGTTTGGAGTAAGAAAATGGTAGTCTAGATCCCAGGAAGATAACAATCATGTTAGCTATGATTTCCGTTCGTAATGTGAAGAAAAGGTTTGATTCCATTGACTGAATCTGACTATATTTCAATTTCTTTGTTGTTGTTTGTAAAAGTTAATGGTTTATTTGGTTTTTGCGCATATGTTTATATGAGTTATATATAATGTTCATATACATAATTTAAAAAGTTCATATGCTTAATTTTTATGGTTAATAGTTTAGAATCTGAATAAATAATTCCAATAGTTGTATAATATGTAAAGCGCAAAATTATTGTATTTCATAATTCATATAGGATATTCTTTGTATACACACAAATTTTTTTGATTGCCTATAGGTATAGTTCAATGCAATTATGTATCTGCTTAAAGGTATAATGTTCATACAATGGAGTATTAATGTTCATATGTTTTACCTTTAATATTCTTCATTTTGGTGAATATGTTTAATGTTCATATGTTTAATGTTCATATGTTTAATGAAATTGGTAAAGTTCATGCCATAGTGATTGAATGTTCATAGAGAAGCATTGTATATTTATGGTTTTGTTTTTCATAAATTTAAAAGAGTGAACCTCAAAACAAGTCATCAACATTTAATATATTTCCACTCTACGTCATCAATTAAATTTATTTATAACACAGCTTACCTTACTAAAGTTTTAATCCATTTCAAATCATTCTGTTAATTTTGGCCGTTAAATAGTGACGGAAATCTATTTTTCACATGCTTTTGGTTCAGGAGTATTTTTGTCATTTTATTATTTTATTATTTTTTAATCTTTTTTTTTTACAATTCTTCTTCTTATACATCCTAACTTGTATACAATGGTAGTATATAATTTTAAATTTTAAAAAATTATTTTCCTTTTTTATTTTAACTTCTAGATTATAAAATTTTTTTAAAAAAATTTAAGAAATGAAGAAAAATTCGAATTAAAGTAAACATGAAAATTAATAATTTACCATTTTAAATAAAAAGAAAAACTAAAAGAATTAGCTAAGACAAGTTGTTTCTCCTAGGTATTTAATTTTTTTCAACTCGATTGAATTATTTAATTATTAATTTTCACGTTTCTTATTCTTTTTTTTATAATCTAGAAGTTAAGATACAAATGACAAAAAAATTCATTTTTAAAAAATAATTTGTCATTTGTATATTAATCACTGTTGAAAATTAATTTCTTACTTTAACTCGATTAAAACTTTAACCGATTGGCTAATCGGTTCGGTTTTATGTCGCTTTTGGTTCGGTTAATCGCTGTTGGTTTTTTTGAACACCCTACGTAGATTTTGGAGCTGTGGAGGAACATTGGCTTGATTTGGATAAATTGTCTAAAATGGATGTTGTCTTGTAATTTGTTACCAACCAAAAAGTTTATTTATCTTCTTCGTCAAAAAAAAAAAAGAAGTTTATTTATGTTAATTTATCAGTTATTACCAACTAAATACCACATATTTTTAAGTAATTGCTTAATATTTGAATAACCATAAAAGATATCCATTAAAACTCCACAACTTTTTAGATTCCTTGCATTTGGTGGCAATGAAAACTGAAGAAGGCCCTCATGGAAACCGAGTGAAAACGTGTAATTTGTTTTTTATTACTTCGTACTATATATTAATCGTCTTTGGATTGCCCGCATGTGAGAAATGGTCAAAGTAAGCTGGAAAATTCAGTAAACTGATCTTTCATAGCTGTATAAGGTTCAATGAAAAGATAATTTCCAAGAAGAATCAAGCTTCATCGAATTTCTTTTTCCCAATCCAGCAAAATCTGAATGTTATTTTGCTGCCATTTTGACTACTATACTCCTCCAAGATGCATTTAAGTTGCTTTACTTTTAAACAATCACTAACTGATTCGTCTTTCTTCCGTTACATTGGCATTCCTGAGCTCAGATAGCTGAATTTCATTTGTAGGATTGTCCTTGTTAACTGGGCCGTTGCTTCCAGCTGAAACCTTCAAGTCTCCTTGGCCGGATTCAGGGTTGATGTTGTTCATGTTGTGGTCAGATCCTTGATGCTGATCATCATCAGAAGATGAATCTTCATTTTGATTATCTTCATCAGGATGGACAGTTGAGTCATCCCTTGCGTCATACCCTCGATTCGGTAGGAAGAAGAGAGATTTCTGACTGCAATCTGCAACTTTGTTGGTGATTTTTTGACCAACAGTGGTCTCTGAGCAGAATAGTGCAAGTAGCAGTGCTGAGCCTATTATGATAAACAATCCTCCAAAGTCGTAAACTCGCAACTTTGGGCTCTCTGAGCTCACTGAATTGATTTGACTGCCACTAGTTGTTGGATTTGAAGGTCCAAAGTTCTTTTCCTGAATCGCAGTCATGTTCACGCTTTCTGTCACTGCTAGGATTGCCCTTGAGAAATATGCAACCAGTGGAGATCCTAAAGGGAATGCCTGGATTATTATCACACACAATAAGTTAGTTTCATGTCAGGAATGACTCCCAAGTAGTTGCCTACTTCCTTGTCAGTTCTAAAGAAAAGTTATGAAACTTATGGCTAAAATCTTGGCCTAATATAAATCTTCGACAGTAATCAGGATGACTGGAATTTTGTTTCTGCTTTGGTTGGTGTTGGCATTCAAGCATTATCAGTAAAAACATATCTCTTTTTGTTTTCTAACATTTTAGTTTACTAATCCAACATCATGAAGTTGCTGTCTTTTTTCAGCTTTCCCTGATAATTCAAAGAGGCCAGAGAAAGAGATAACTTACGAAGGCAAATCCGTCTGACTTGTATGTAGGTCCAACTATTTTGTATTCGGAACCATATCGATCAAGAAACACGTTAATGTAAGGGATTTCATCAAAGATAGCATCAATTCCTCCATTTTTGCTCCCATTTCTCATGGCATCATGAAATTCTTCCATACTTGAATACCCCTTGATCCTGTTCTCATTAATGTTCAGATGATGCACCAAAAAGTTTTTCATGAAGCTAGTGCTTTGAACCCCAATGGAATCATTACTTGAAAATCTGTAGTCTAACTGATCCACTGTAAACATTGCAGATAAATTTGCAGTGTAACTTTGCATTAGGATGCCGGCCATCAGCAACCACACAACCATGACAGAAATTGCCCATTTATTTGTAACCAAATCTCCTGTGAATTGCACAAAAAAGTGTGTATTGTTCGAATCAAATGTCGTATGTCAGTAACTAGTTACTCTTATCAAACATTAACTAAAATGCTTTCTATTCCACTGAGTTTCAAGATTATAAACTGCAACAGCAGTTTCTTAAGAATATCTAGAAGTAAATAACAACTTACTTTCTGGAAAAGCTAGTGAGGAAATTGGGAAAGACAACCCAAGTCTGCTGTTACGTAATCCAATAGAATCTGGTTGGCTATTTGCTCGACGCTCCAGTATTTGAAGGACTATACCAATGCATATGCTAGTACAAAATATTAGCAGCCAAAGATCCCACCTAAATGGCTTCACAAAGATCCATATGTCTCTTTGTTTCCTGTTTCTGACCACCATAACGGTTCCTGCTGCAGAATATGGCAGAGTGAAATCAACATATTTTGCTCGATCAGCCAAGATTGTCGTGTCAGCAACAAATATGTCATACTGCTTCACATTTTGAAGGAGAGGAAAAGTTACATCAATTTTTGCTACAGAAATCACATGGTTGTTCATTTAATAAATCAAAATCAGAGATGAAGCAAGAAAGAGAAACCAGACCTGGTTTGGTATTCCATGGAGAAGATCATCGTATGTTTCATTACTTCGCCCGCTTTCATTAGTAGGAGAAAAGAACTCGTAATCTAAATGAAATGGTAGAAGGTCCAGGGCATAGAGGAATATATCTATTGCAAATCCAGTTGCTAGAGTCATGTTTGTTAGAGGATCATATGAAACATTGATAAATTGCCTATAAACATCTCTCTGAGGAACTCCTACTATCAGTTTCCCTGTTGAAGGAATGGCCCATCCTATGGGCTTCTTGGTTGAATCTCCAGGCCACACAATGCTCTTCAACTCATCAGTGGAAGTCGAATATGTTTGTTTACCTTTCAAAGGTAAATTTCGCGTTATCCCTCCATCAGGGCTCCAGTAACCAATTGGTCTTTCACCTGTTTCATAGACATTGAATATCTCCAGTACTGAAGATTTCAACTGACCATTCACCAAGTGGAACTCTCCAATCAGGCCATCAAATTTAATGTTTTGTAGTTCAGCTAGAAGTTTTGGTCCATATTGGGATATTCTGAACCTAGAAATCTCGCTTCCCTTATTGATATCATTCGCAATCAGGAACCCTGGAGTAACTGGTTTAATCTTTTCTACTGCCATTGCCAACGCCCAAACGGTATCATAAGCCCATAAACCGTACATATTCAACTCTATTGCTGTACTTTTTGGATTCTTTTTCCACCTGGCTCTGAAATTGCGTAGATTCTTTGACATAGGCACATAAGGCCTTATGCCTATGACACCTTCCATAGAATCTCCAACAGCATCATATGTAGAACTCATGAAATTGCCTACACTATCAGTAATAATCCAGGCATATCCCTCTCGAATCATTCTCGCCTTTTTAGCTAGCACAAACAACCTAGATCCGAGGTTAGCATTCATATGCACTAGAAACACCCTAGTTTGTAAAGTAGTAAGCTTTTTCAAGTCTTTCATGATGCGACTGTCTTCAGCTGAGGTCGAGAAGGGTACCGTGTATGAGAGCTGAATCTCATCATCTTGGAACTCCTTCGTTAGCTTCCCCAGAAATTGGCTACCATAATCACTGTCTTCATACAGAATCACAGCTGCAAGCCAACCAAATCCCTTGCAGATAGATGCAAGAGCTTTGGCTTGGTTTGAGTCGTCAGGAGTAGTCTGGATGAAGTAAGGACTTTGCTGATACGAAACAGATTGGCTTCTGGTGGTAAAAGATACAACAGGTACATGAGCTTTTCCTCCAAGTTCTGCAACAAATTTATGTTGTGTGAACATTTGTGGACCTAAAATGCTGTGCACACCATTGTTCATCAGTTCAAGAGCTGCATTCCATTCAAAGAAAGAACACTGTTAACTAATGTGATGATTCTCTTCAATGCAAATAGATAGAACAACTTCCATGTGTTTTTTTGTTTCAAATTTTATTGTATCAAAAAGATTGACAAACAAGAAAATTAGAGAAAGAAAAATTTGTTGTAGTTTACTTTGTGAAGTAACTACAATGCCTGAGGCTGTGATCGTTAACAAAAATGGAACAAAGATAACCTGCAGATACTATATCCAGGTCATCCTGAGCATCTCTTCTATGGAGAATCAATCTCGTTTTGTAATCCGGATGAGATGTATAAAAATCACAGATTGCCATCGCGATACATGTATCCACCATAGCATCCATAGGTGATACAGTATCAAAAATCAGACCAATATGGACAGAGGTTGGTTCTGCAGTTTCATTACTTATGAAACCTGTCTTGGCAGCTTCCATATTCCACAAATTGAGGAGAAGGACCATACAAGCAAGGCAAAGAAAAGTTTTGAATGAAAGCTTCATAGAGGCTTACTAATCTTGCTTATAAAAATAATGTACTGTAGTTTTCCTTTTGGTTTTAATACCTGAGTTCAAAAGGGAGGTTATCTAGATGTCCTTTATAACCTGGCGATGATCTAACCGAATAAATGTAGGACAAAATCCCCTTGTGTAAGTTTCCTATGATTTTCCAGTTGTTCCTTTCAACCAATAGGTTCCTGCAAGAAGTTTGATTGCTTGCTTGAAGTAAGATTGGCAGAAAACAAATACTTAGTCCAGCCTGATCCTAAGTTGGCAGAATTCTGGTGCACTCCGCGAAAAGCATTGCAGTTCAAGAATTTCCAAGGAATTTCCGGAACTGTCTTTGATTGGGATTCAGCTACAGCCTTCAACAGTCTTGGTTTTTTTCTTGGGGAAGCTGATTGCCCATTATTCATCATATACTGTGGTTCTTTCAGGCTTTCAGATATTGATCATGTCTTTTTATCCAGATTTACGAGGGTCACTTTACATTCATTAGTCCAGAATGTAGTCTAGTTTTTCATGATCTAACAAGTTACCCTAAAAACACCCTCGAGAGAGCGCGTGATTATTTGGTCCTCCCCGATCAACTTTGTTAGTCAATCGCCTTCGGATGTTTTCTTTGAACTTTCGCGGAGTCTGGTAAACTAGCTAGTAAGTATCTTGGAAGTTATTAACATTGACAGTAAGACATTGGAAATGGCTGCACAATACAAGTTATAACACATTTGAATAGTCACATTGTAGTATTTTTGGTAGAGAATCTTTTCTATGTGTGTTTAGTTTTGTTCCAGATATTACAGACATTATCGTTAAGATCAAAGTTCACTTTTGTGAAATTAGTACAACTTACACATCCCAGAAAACAGTTACTAACTGTTAGTGTTAAAAACAAGGATCCTTTTAATTTATTAATATTATTAGTATTTCTTTCCTCTATTTTTTTTTTTTTTTTTGGCCAGCTGCAGATGAGAATTGAATACTATTATGAGAATACCACAATCTCAGTATTGTTCATAAAATCAGAACGTTTAAGCATAAAGGGGTAAGAACTTTGAGCCACACACTTTCGCCTTCTTTGATAGTACTTGAAAACTGCAGTTCTACAGGTTATTTCTCAATTAGGTTTACAGGTGCGACTTGAGAGTGAGACTAGTGTTTGTTTTTACGCTGAAAACCTCCAACAGTCATTCAGAAGAAAAGAAACTATTTACAAAACAACTCAATCCCTTTCCTAATCCAGCTAAGTCTTAAATGTTATCCACAAGTATCATTTTTCTCAACCAGATTCCTACCCGGGATATCATCTACCTTCTCTATTTTAGCATTACTCAGTACATTGATCACTAACTGGTTTGTCTTCCTGTATGGCATCGGTGTTGCTGTTCCCGATCTCAGATAGCTGAATTTCATCACTAGGATTGCCTTGCTCAGACTCATTAGCTTGTCCATTTCTTACTGAAATGACTAAATCTTCTCCCTGTGCAGATGCTTGATTGATATGATCAGTTTCTTGAACTTCATTTCCATCATCAGAACGGAGAGTTGAGTGAACCCTTGAGTCATTCCCTTGAAATGATATAAAAATGAAAGATTTTTGGCCATAATGTGCAACTATATTGGTGAGTTTTTGGCCAACTGAGGTCTCTGAGCAGAATAATGCAAATAACAGCGCTGCTCCAATGAGGATAAATAGTCCTCCAAAGTCGTAAACTGTCAGCTTTGGGATGTCCGGGTTTATCGAATTGATTAGAGAATTCGATGATGGATATGTAGGTCCAAAATTTTTCTACTGAATCACAGTCAGGTTAGCGCCTTCCGTCACTGCTAGGATTGCCCTTGAGAAATAATTAACCAGTGGAGATCCTAAAAGAAATGCCTGTATTACAAATGATCACATAAGGTCAGTTTTGTTTGAGAACACATCATAGAGAAAATCAGAAGAATAGCTATTTACTTCCAAGAAACCGCATGTTTCCTGTTCAGTTTTCAAAGAATGCAATGAACAGGTAATTTAAATCATGGCATAATGTTTCAGGATAATTGGAGTGTATTTTCTTCTTTGACTTTACACATTTCTTTGATTATTATGAAGTTGCTTCTTATTTCCTTTCATTCTAAAGAGAACTTACAAAGCCAAATCCATCTGTTTTGTATGTTGGACCAACAACTTTATAATCAGAACCATACTTATCAAGAAACAAGTTTATGTATGGGATTTCATCAAAGATTGCATCGACCTCCATTTTCGCTCCCTTTAACCATGGCGTCATGATATGCCTCAATAGTTCCATATTCTTTGATTCTTGACTCATTGATACCCAGATGATTTATCAATAAATCCCTTATAAAGCTACCCTCTTGAATGCCAATGTAATCATTACTTGAAAACCTGTAGGCTAACTGATCTACTGTGAACATTGCAGATAAAATTGCAGTGTAGCTTTGCATTAAGACGAACGCCATCAGCAACCATACAACCATAACAAACCTTGACCATTTGTTTGTAACTGATTCTCCTGTCAATATCCAAAACCAAAAGAACCGTATCACCTTAATCAAATGTCATAAGTAACTAGCAACTAATCTTCAATAATGATATTCTGTTCTAATAAGTTGCAACATTACGAAAAGCACAAGAAGATTAATTGGAAAGGACAAGGCAGGTTTATGTTTCTTTCTGCCAATATAATCTGAATTGTTCCTTACACGATGCTCCAGTATTCTAAGGACTATGCCGATACATGTAGAGGTACCAAATATTAGTAGCCAAAGATCCCACCTAAAAGGCTTAACAAAGCTCCACATGTCTCTCTCTTTCCTGTTCCTGACCACCATAACGGATCCTACTTCAGAATATGGTAGAGTGAAATCCACATGTTGAGCTCGATTAGCCATAATTGTCATGCCCCAACAACCATATCAAAAGTCCACACAAGAAATAAAAGGAGAGAGCAACAAACATAAAAATGATTCTACAGTCATCACATGCTTAATCATTAGTCTTCAGCAAAATAAAGATAAAAAATGAAGTGGAAAAAGAAAACCGACCTCTTTTGGTATTGCAGAAAGAAGGTCATTATGTTCCATTGCTGAGCCCACTTTCATTTATAAAAGGAAGAATACAGGATGTATGTTAAAAGGTAAATGCTGAAGTACAGAAAGGAATATGTCTATTGAAAAACCATTAACTTTTAGGCTTCATTGTCAAGGGGTCTAGCGAAACATTGACGAATTGAGGGAGACCATCTCAGGAACTCCTACTTTTAGTATCCCGGTTGGAAGAATATCCCATCCTTTGGGCTGCGTTTTTGTATCCCCAAGCCAAATAATGCCCTTCAACTCCTTAGTAGAAGTTAAATATGTCTGTTTAGCCTTTGAAGATAACTGTTGAGTAATGCCTCTATCAGGGGGTCCAGTAACCAATCCGCCTTTCTCCTGTATCAAAAACATTGAATATCTCCACTGCTGAAGACTTGAAGTGACCGTTAATCAAGTGGAATTCTCCACTCTATCCCTCAAATGTTGTGTTTTGTAGTTCAGCTACAAGCTTTGGTCCAAATTGAGATGTTCTCAGGTTAAAAAACTTGCCTTCGTTCTTGTTGCCTTGATCCACAATCAAGAAGCTTGGATTCGCAGGTCTAATCTTTTCTGCTGCCATTGCCAGTGCCCAAACTGTATCATATGCCCATAAACCATACACATTCAATTCTGCAGCTGAATATTCTGGAGTGTTTAGATCCATCGAAAACATATTGTTTTTCCACCGAGCTTTAACCTATCTAGTTTCTTGACTTAGGTACATAAGGCCTTAGGCCAATCACACCTTCCATAGAATCAACAACATGATCATCTAAAGATATGATGAAGTTGCCCATATAATCAGTGATAATCCAGACATACCCTTCACTTTCTTGCCTTTTTGGCTAAGAGAAACAACCTAGACCCAAGGCTAGCATTCATGTGCACCAGGAACACCTTTGTTTCGATAGTCATTAGCTTTTTCAGTTCATCCATGATGTTGTAATCTTGAGCTGATGTGGAGATGGAAGCCACATATGCTAGCTGAATCCGAAACTCTTGGAAAGCATTGGTTAGCATTTCAAGAAATTGGTTACCATACTCACTATCTTCGTTCACTATGACAACTTCATTCCATGCAAATCCTTTGCAGATACAGGCAAGAGCCCTTGCTTGGAATGAATCCTCTAGAGTTGTCCAGATGAAGTATGAATCATAGGAAATGGATCGGCTTCGGGCAGTAAATGATATCACAGGTACCTGAATTTTTCGCCTAGTTCTGCTACAAATTTATCTTGTGTGAACATTTGTGGGCCAAGAATGCTGTGGAATTTTTCATTCTTCATCAGTTCAACGGCTGCATTCCAAACACAGGTACTGTAACTTTTGCTATTCACTTCATAGCAAAGATAATAGCTTATTAACCTGTTTTTGAATTGTAAAGTATGATTAGCAAATAAAATTAGGAAAAGCGAGGTTCATTGTGGTTTACTGCTTTTAATGACTACAATGACACAGATCAACAATATAGCAAAAGGGCATAAAAAGAACCTGCAGCTGCTACCTCCAGTTCATCCTGAACATCTTCCTTGAATTAATCTTGTCTGATGATCAGGATGCGCTATATAAAAATCTGAGATCGCCAATTCCAGAGAAACGTACATAAAGTAATCACATCCAAGCATACGTAAGAAACTGTTGAGAGTCATGTGGCAAGGATTATGAATCCCACATCGGAGGCATGAGCACATGTGAATCAGTTAATAAGTAAGGTGGTCTCAGAACTCATTAGCTTGAGAGTTCAGATGGATCTTATCTCACTTATTGGGCTCCATATCGGGTTTTCTCCTCCATATAAATTCCCAACTGAAACTTGCACAAATTTACTTAATTCCATTCCCTAAAGCAAGAATCTTTTTAGTTTGCTCCAATTCCAGAGAAACGTACCATAATATGTCAAAAGGTAAAACGAGAGACCAGCAAATGTATACTATTAGTTATCACAGGAGATCCCAACATGATCCAAGAAATATTGATCTGTTCTACACGGTAGCCAATTGAAATCGAATTCTAAGGCCAAAAAAAAAAAAAAAAGGAAAAAAAAAAAAAAAGCTTACTTGTTGAAGTTGGAGAATGGAGATAACACACTTCATGGGTGATTACACAATGATTTTTAAGTCTGATGAGTAAAGGGCGTTGTCAAATTGTAATAATTGTTAAAAGGGCGGAATTTCACATTATAATTTGTAATTAGAGCTGTACATTATTATCTCCTTAAATTCATAAGATATAAATTTATATATGTTTACAAAATGGCCCTTAAACTTGATCGTGTTCAACCTCTCAAGTAGCACTCATTAAAAACTCATCCCAATTGCAAATATAAAGAATTACAAAAGTGAAAAAGGCTCATATATATATATTCTTACTTGGTTCGCTAAAAATCTAAATTTTAACCTGAACATGTTTGGGATCGTTTGATTAATCCAACAAGGTTAGATTTTATAAGGTCTCCATTATTCAAAATTTGGTGGAGAGAGTGAGAGTGACAGATATATAATCTAGAGTAATTTTTTTAAAATTGGATGGTGAAAGGGAATTGAACCTTCGGCTCCTGTTAATAATTATCTTCCATCATAATCCCCTAATCAAGAGTAACTTAAAAATTTATCCAACAACAATTCAACTTTGTTAGCAGCATAAAGTCCCTGGGTCTTTAGTCTTTACAAGTTTGTTAGTTCACCAAGTGGTGTACTTTTGTGACTGAAACAAGATATTATCGAATTTTTCAATTCACGTAATGTTGTAGTTCATACTGAAAACTAGCTGTTTTTTTGTTTTTCTACGAAAAGTTTTTGCTTTTTTTTATTGTACTAGAAGAAAATAAAGTTTAAATAGTTTTGCATATATTCGTTTTGTTATCTAAAGTTCTTCGTGTTACATTTACTATAAAAAAAATATTTGAAAATAATATCATGAAAATGAGATATTTTTTATATATACAATTTTGATTATTGATCCGAGGGAAATTTTGTAAATTATGAATTTTCATAATTTTTTTGGTAAATAATATTAATAATGTCGATTATACATAAAAGCATGTATAGAAAATATTAAGGGATAATTTACTACTACCATTATTGTAATGTGATAGTTCCACCATTAATTTAAGGGCCTCCACTGACTTCACACAAATTTTCCCAAGAATTTTGGTTAATGAGAAAGCCAAACTTGGAAAAGAACTCCCTATATTTATTAATTTTTTTAAGTGAGTTTTTTTTTTTTTGGGAAGTTAATTTTGCCAAGTGGCAGTGGTCAAATAAATAAATTAATTTTGTCAATTGTACATAGCCACTTGGCAGTTGACAACAACATGAGAATGAATCCGTTAAACAGAAGTTTTTTGTTTCCAATATAGCAGCAGTTATTACAGTAGAAGATCATTTTCTCCTCCCTCATTTTCATCGAACATATTCACTTTGCTCTCCTTCCTCACTTCCACCAACTTTTTATTTCTTCCGTCGACCATATCATCGACGTCCGAAAAATAAAACACCATTTTCTGGCCGAAATCGGCATAACCAGTAAGCAAAAGGAGAGACAAGAAGAGAAAGGGAGAAGAAGGAAAAAAAAAAAAAAAAAAAAAGGTAAATTAAGATTAAACTCTTCTCCTTCTTTCGTTTTCCTGAATTTTCGCATTAGTCACTTTAGGCTCCTCCATTTAATAGTAGATAACTCTGGAAAATGTAATTTTGCATCTCATTTCCTTTTTACCTTAATATAGTAAAGAAATAGAATTGTTGTGGTTTACATCTATTATAGGAAAATTTCTGGATCAATGCATAAATTCAGAAAACATGTATGAACTGCATGTAACTTTTTTTTTTTTTTTCCTGACAAGAACTGATTGTAACTCAATTTGTATGAAAATCTAGAAATGTACGCATTTAGGATGCTGAAAGTGAAAGAAAAATGTAGGTTGATATTTGTGTGCTCCTTAAATTTAAGGCCTGAAATTAAATCTGGTCCGCGAAGAAATCGCATTAAAGTTATTTATTATTTTGGTAAATCCCACCACAGTCAAAGTAAAGCCCAAAAAATATTGAAGTCAATTGCATAAACATTTATTTTTAATCTATTATTACATTTTCCCTTTGATTTTATTAGATGTTAAACCCGCACGATGTGTTTATTCATATACACTTTTAAGAAACATTTTTAAATTTAAATGTGCTAAATATAATAAATTTTTTTTTTCTAGCGATAGATATTATAGAAGCAAAAGTAAATTACATTACCACTATAAATAAAAATATAACATCTATAAAATGAGAGTAATTCATAAATTGCACAGGAAAAATGTAATAACACCATAAATATAGGTCTTATACAACTAAAATTAAATGAAACACCAAGTACCGATTAATTTATGTACAAATGAACACTTAGACTAATTACTAAGTATAAGGATAAAATTTATAATTTATGAAAAAAGTATGTTTACACTGATTTTTTTTTATAAGAATACAATTTATAATTTATACAAAAGTACATCCTACGGATACGTAGTGAGTGGCGTGGGTTCAAGACTTCAAGTGTGTCTTATGCATCTTAAAATTTTTCATTAAAAATGCACAAACTTGATATTAGCAATGAAACAGAAAATCATTCGTAATTAGCTTTTCTTTTCTATAACTTTGAACTAGATGTTTGGCTTAGGCAGATGCCCGGGCGCCTTTTTGAATTACTATTTTATTAAAATCTAATTGAATTACTATTTTTTGATAAATTAATTTAGCGTATATATCATTTATGCTATGGGTGGGGCTTAAAAAATATATCTATAAATATGAGGTTATAAGAGAATAATAAATAATTAGTTTATAAGGCATTATTCTTAATTGCTCGAATTAGGTATTTTTATTTTTTTGTTTATATTAAGCCTGCAAAACTATACGATTGGATATTTGAATTTGAATTAATATATCCATTCGTTTGAAATGTAACTGATCCTTATTTGTAGTAAAACATGTGTGTTTTTTTTAAAAAAAAAAATTATATAGCTTCTAATTAAAAAAGACTTACACGTGGCAAAAAGACTCATGAAATCTGAAATATGGTGCATTGGAGCCAAAACAGATGCATACGTAGTTGCCACATAAGCTTCATGTTTTCTGCTTTAATAGGGTAAAAGGGATTTGTTTGTCACCCGTAAACACATTAGTTTACACCAATTTAAAAATAAATAATAAACATAATTATTCAATATAACTTGGATATACACATTTCGTAGATGATGGCAACTAATCAGTTATTGTAAACTAATGCCATATAACAAATATAAAGGTAACATTTTAAGATAACAAAATCTCAAAAATCTCCTATCCCAGGCTAATCCAAAGGTTATTTCGAAGAACACAAACTGCTTCCCCCACGATGTATTATTTTCCTTCTTCTTGATGATCGATGTGATGTCTTCTTTTGTGGCTGAACCTTTAGATTGTGGATCAAAGCTACATAAAATGGTTAGACAAATAATCACTACGTTTCAAAATGAGTGTAATGTTTGAATCTTCACAATCAGTACAATTTTCATATGAAATAATTATTTTGACACAGAAAGATAATTAATAGCATTAGTTTCACCAAAAGAGTATATGTCATGTATCGTTTCACCAAAAGATATTGTATCCAGTTTTAATTATGAAGCATAATGTCATTGTTTTTCTGGTGGTTAAGCCTTTCTAAGTTCCAGTTTTCAGGTGCAAATTCTTACTTTTCTATTACCTCATTAATTCCAGTTTCATCACTGACTGCTCTTGAGATATTATCATCTGGTTTAAGCAAAGATGGTCGACAATGACGCTACAAACTCGTCTTCACACGGAGTTGAACATGTCTCATCACTGGATGTGCCACCTTCTTCACAACGTGTTTGCAGAAAATTTGATGATGATGGAAGGCCGAAGAGAACCGGCACGGTTTGGACCGCAAGTGCTCATATCATTACCGCAGTAATTGGTTCTGGAGTTTTGTCATTGGCTTGGTCTGTAGCCCAGCTGGGATGGATTGCTGGTCCGGTTGTGATGCTTTTGTTTTCCTTTGTCACCTATTATAATTCGACTCTTCTGTTAGCATGTTACCGAACAGGGGACCCGATCAATGGGAGAAGAAACTACACCTATATGGATGCAGTGAAATCAAATCTTGGTGGGTTCCAAGTGAAATTTTGTGGGGCAATTCAGCACTTGAATCTTGTTGGATCGGCAATTGGTTACACTATTGCAGCTTCTGTAAGCATGGCGGCTATCGAAAAGTCCAACTGTTTTCATTCTAGCCACCAAAGAGATCCTTGTAAAGTTTCAAGCAATCCTTACATGATCAGTTTTGGAGTTGTGCAAATCGTTTTTTCTCAAATCCCGGATTTCGACCAAATATGGTGGCTATCCATTGTTGCTGCAGTGATGTCTTTTGCCTATTCTGCAATTGGTCTTGGACTTGGGGTTGGAAAAGTAGTAGAATCTGGCAAAATCAGGGGAAGTTTAACTGGAATCAGTATTGGAATTGTTACTCAAACCGACAAGATATGGAGGATTTTCCAATCTCTTGGATCAATTGCTTTTGCTTATTCTTATTCAATTATCCTAATTGAGATTGAGGATACCATCAAATCTCCACCATCTGAAAGCAAAACAATGAATAAGGCCAACTTATTGAGTTTGGCAGCAACCACAATTTTCTATATGTTGTGTGGTTGTTTTGGTTATGCTGCATTTGGAGATCTTTCTCCAGGAAATCTCTTGACTGGCTTTGGTTTCTACAACCCGTATTGGCTAGTTGACATTGCTAATTTAGCTCTCGTCATTCATCTTGTTGGTGCTTATCAAGTTTTCAGCCAACCACTTTTTGCTTTCGTCGAGGGCACCGCAACAAAATGGTTTCCGGAAAGCAAATTCATCTCCCGAGAAATTGAAATCCCATTGTATGGATTCAAGTCATCATACAAACTCAATCTCTTCCGGTTAATATGGCGCACGATTTTTGTCATTTTCAGCACCGTAATTTCTATGGTCATGCCATTCTTCAATGATGTAGTTGGCCTTCTTGGAGCCATTGGATTTTGGCCTCTCACTGTATACTTCCCGGTGGAAATGTACATTGTGCAAAAGAAGATACCGAAATGGAGCAAAGGATGGCTACTACTACAGTTAATGAGTGTTGCATGTTTCATCGTTTCAATTACTGCTGCGGCTGGTTCTGTTGCTGGAATTGTGAATGACCTCAAAGTCTACAAACCATTCAAGACAAGTTACTGATTTGTTTGATCGGAAATCGCATTTCATTCACTGATGATGGTGATGATGATGATGATGAGGGGAAAAAATGATGAAGATTGTAGGGTTTAGGAAGTATTTGGTGGCCATTCAAGTACTGCATTCACAACATGGCTAAATTCATGTGTTGGATTTTGCTGAACAGACTCAAATAGTTGATCATCTCCTGCTGAAATGTTTGTATCTCCTTACTCAGGTTGATTAAAATGATTGGTCATGTTTGAGGTAATCCCTGGGCCTATCATTCAAAACAAGAGTAAAGATAAATATTTCTGGCTGTAATTAGCTGTTTTATCATTTAGTCTTTGGCCGAATGGAGGAGTCTCTTAGGATTAAAATTTACTCCAAAGAGATGCCATGTTAAACTTTTTGGCTCTGTGAGCTGATTGAGTGATTTGATTATTAGATGATGGAAATGAAGGTCCAAAATTTTTCTTGCATTCTGTTTGCTCCTTCTGTAACATGGCTAGGATTGCCCTTGTAAATAAATAACCAGTGGTGATCCTTATTGGAATGCCTGGATTGCACATCAAATGGTAATCTCACTTCAGAAGGCGAAGTCACGGAGAATTAAACGAAAATGCTTCCTCCGTCCCAAAATAAGAGTGTCGAGAAGAATTTTATTTTGGGACGGAGGGAGGGAGTAACTGAAAGAATGAGATGAATCCACTTCAGTTTTCTGAACAAGTTAGGGAAATAGCAGAAAATGCAAAAGAATAACAACCAAAGAAACTGGAATTGTCTGGATTTATGCATGTCTTGATCATCTTCACAAAATAAGAAACCGGAACCTTGGAGTCTTTCCTTAGATTGTTGAGACATACTGTGAACAACACAACATGTTTTTAATGTCCCGACGTATGTACAACAAACAGATCCATACAAGAGGGAGAGCCTAAAAGGAAATTCTGGCAAATGTGTTTATTAAGAATAAGAATGCATAAAAACCTGTGAATGTTTAGTCAAATTGGTATTTTCGGAATAACTTTATCATGGTGAGTGATTCATGGAAGTCTGCAAATCAAGTAAAGAAGTTTGTGTTTCCTAGAAAAAAGGTACTCGCTAAAAGGGTCCTATTTTACAATCTGCATATTTTTACAATGGACTATATTAAACACGTTTCATTAAGAAACTTACTTCAAAGTTCAGACCATAAACACTGACAATATGCACATGAGTGATCAAACCTATTTTACATTCCTGATTCATCTAATCTGAATTCAAGCCTATTTTACATCCATGCTTTCACTATTGGTTTGGTTTTTCTTCTGTAACATTGGCATTCCTGTGCTCAGAAAGCTGAATTTCATTTTTAGTATTTCCCTGCACAGACTCAGTCACTTGATCAGCACCAGCTAAATGGTTTGAATCTCCTTGGGCAGATTCTTGATCAATGTTGTCAGAACCTTGATGTTCTTCATCACTAGATGAATCTCCATTTCCACCTTCAGGATGCACAGTTGAATCGATTCTTGAGTCATTCTCTCGAGACGGTAGAAAGAAGAAAGATTTTTTACTGTAATCTGCAACTGCATCGGTGAGTCTTTGGCCAACAGTGGTCTCTGAGCAGAATAGTGCCAGTAGCATTGCTGAGCCTATTATGATAAATAATCCTCCAAAATCGTAAAATCGCAACTCTGGTGTCTCTGAGCTGATTGAATTGATTGGATCACTGGAATGTGAAGGTCCAAAATACTTCTCCTGAATTTCAGTGAAGTTTCCATTTTCTGTGAAATCTAGAATTGCCCTTGAAAAATAGGCTGCCAGTGGAGATCCTGAAGGAAACGCCTGGGTTGCACATAATAATGCAAAATCATTTCTCAGCACATCTAGAAGAAGGCATACATTCCCAAGCAAATGAAAAACATCCTTTTCAGTTTGGAAAGAAAGCTATAAAAAAAAGATGGTTCAAATTAATCTTGGCATAATCTAGATCTTACAAATGTTTCAGGACCATAAGGATTTAGTTCATGCATTGTTCGATATTCTGATACTTATATTTCATCAATATGGACCAAAAAAACAAAAAAAAAAGAAAAGAAAAAAAGGAAAGATTTCAATCTTGCTTGGTACCTACTCCAGTGTATTAAATCCAACAGGCATTTCATCATGAGTTTGCTGCCTTGTTCTTTTTCCTGATAAATACCTAGAGGTGAAGGAAGAGCATACTTACAAATCCAAATCCATCTGTCTTGTATGTATGTCCAACAATTTTGTACTCTGAACCATATTGATCAAGAAACAGCTTCATGTAAGGGATTTCATCAAAGATAGCATCAATTCCTCCATTTTTGCTCCCTATTCTCATGGCCTCATGATATTCTTCAATAGTTGAATAGTCCCTGATCTTTTTATCACTAATATTCAGACGCTTCTTTAAAAAGTTCCTCACAAAGCTATCCTTTTGGACGCCGATGCACTCATCACTTGAAAACCTGTAGTCTAATTGATCAACTGTAAACATTGCAGACAAATTTGCTGTGTAGCTTTGCATCAGGATGAAAGCCATTAGCAGCCACACAACCATGACAAAACGCGACCATTTATTTAAGACCAGATCTCCTGTCCATAGAAGAAGAAACAGTGGCATACTCCTTGAATCAGATTTATTAATATGCATGATTAGGAAATGTGCTGAACACTTTCATAAGTATAGAATAGCTTACTTTCAGGAAAGGCCAGAGATGCAATTGGAAAGGAAAAGCCAAGGTTGTGTTTCTTCAATCCTATAAAATCAGATTGGCAGTTTGCTCGATTCTCCAGAATTCGAAGGACCACGCCAATACATATGCAGGTGCCAAATATTAATAGCCAAAGATCCCAACTAAATGGCTTAACAAAGATCCATATGTCTCTTTGTTTCCTGTTTCTGACCACCATAACGGTTCCTGCTTCAGAATATGGCAGAGTGAAATCAACATATTTTGCTCGATCAGCCAAAATCGTCACGTCCCCAACAACCATATCGTAAGTCTACATCAAGTTAAAAGGAGAGAAAAGACATCAGAAGGATTGTGCACTCATCAAATAATTTTGTTTTCATTTTTATTTATCAAAATCAAAGATGAAAAGGAGAAAGAGAGACTTAACCTCGTTTGGTATGGCATAAAGAAGATCGTCATAGGTTCCATTACTAAACCCGCTTTTATTTGTGAAAGCATAGAATTCAGGCTTTATATGGAAAGGCAACCGCTTTATCACAGAACAGAAAATGTCTATTGAATAACCAGTAACATTGGTGGTCTTGTATGTCAGGGGATCTTGTGAAACATCGATGAATTCTGTAAAACCTTCTTTCTTAGGAACTCCTACTCTCAGCTTCATTGAAGGAATGGCCCATCCTATTGGCTTCTTTGTTGAATCTCCAGGCCACAAAATTTTCTTCAACTCCTTAGTACTAGTTGAATATGTTTGTCGGCCATTTGAAGATAATTTTCGCGTAATGCCTCTATCAGGGGTCCAGTAACCAATTGGTCTTTCTCCTGTTTCATGAACATTGAATATCTCCAGGGCTGAACACTTCAACTGACCGTTGATCAAGTGGAAATCTCCACTCAACCCCTCCAATGTTGTGTTTTGTAGTTCATTGAAAAGTTCTGGACCAAATCTGGAGATAGAAATCTCACTTCCCTTATTGCTATGGTTCGATTTCAAGAATCCAGCATTGACACGTCCAATCTTTTCAACAGCTTTTGCCAGCGCCCAAACTGTATCATATGCCCATAAGCAGTACATATTCAACTCTGCTGATGAACTCTGGAGGTTGTCTACATTCATCAGAAGCATATTCTTTTTCCACCTGGCTCTGAAGCTGTCTAGTTTCCTTGACTTTGGCATATAAGGCTTCAAACCAATGACACCTTCCATAGAATCAATAACAGCATCATCCATATAATGCATGAAGTTGCCTGTACTGTCAGTTACAATCCACGCGTACCCTTCACTTATCATTCTGGCCTGTTTAGCTAGCCGAAACAACCTGGATCCAATATCAGAATTCATATGCACCAAGAACACCCTAGTTTGCATAGTCATCAATTTCCTCAGCTCATTCATGATCTGGTAGTCATCAGCTGATGGCGAGATGGAAACCGCGTATGCTAGCTTAATCTGAGCCTCTTGAAATGCATTTGTCAACTTTAGAAGAAATTGGGTGCCATAATCACTGTCCTCGAATAGAATTACAGCTGCATGCCATTCAAATCCTTTGCATATGGAAGCAAGAGCTCTGGCTTGGTTTGAGTCATCAGGAGTAGTCTGGATGAAGTAAGGGCTTCGCTTATGAGAAAGAGATTGACTTCTGGCAGTAAAGGATATTACAGGTACATGAGCTTTTCCACCAAGTTCTGCTACAACTTTATCCTGTGTAAATGTTTGAGGGCCTAAAATGCTGTGTACTTTTTCATTCTCCATCAGTTCAAGGGCTGCATACCAATCACAGAAATAGAGTTAAGTTGCAATCCACCCTAAAGCAAAGTCAAGAAACTGATAATATCCATTGTATCAGATATCTGTGATCTACAGAAAAATGGAACAGTTTGCTATGACTTGTTGCTTTGGAAATGAGACACTGATTACAATTACATGCAAAAGACATGAGGATAACCTGCAGATGCCGAACCAAGTTCATCCTGAGCATCCCTTCTGTGGATGATTACTCTTGTTTGATAATCTGTATGCGCCACGTAGAAGTCTGAGAGCGCCATAGAAATCGATAAATCAACCATAGCACCCAAAGGGGAAGTGGAATCAAGAATCAGACCAATGAGGACTGGAGTGTAAGTTGGTGCAGCAGTTCTATTACTACCATGTCCTGCGGCAGCTAATCCAACATCCCACAAAAGGATGAGAAGGAAAAAGTTATAAAGCAGATAAAGAAAACTCTTGTTGGAAAGCATAGCGAAATGTAGTTGATTTTCTAATCAGAATCAAACAAAAAAGTGCTTTTCCTTTTTGGTTCTAACACCTGGGAAGTCCTGGAATGAGCTTCTTTGTTATATAGCCATAAAAAAGAAGAAAAAAAGAGGAAGTAAGCAAGTAAACGCATTCAGGACCTACATTCATTAGTTAATCAAGCTTCCTGATTTTGCTGTCATTCCTTTGAACTGATAAGCAGTTGACCTGTAGAAGTTTGCTGAGTTCAGTTATCATACTCAAAGAGGATCCCTTTAAGCTCGAAAGTTCGTTGAAATTTACATCGAATTTCGTATGGAGCAAGGAAGATGACATTACTAATTACACAAACTTCCCATCAAAATCAGGCTTTGACTAAAACAAGATTAGAGGAAAGATATCAGAAGTTGCTGCACTTATATACTCTATTATACATTGCACTGGTTGGTTAACTTAAAATCAATCTGGCTCTCATTTTCTCCACAGACACTCTTTTCCACTAAACCATCACATCCAAGGATAACAAATTTGGATTATATTAGTTAATACTAGTCCCTTAAAATATTCTTGATTAGTCTTGATCATTAATTAATGTTACAATTCCAATTCATATAACTTCATTCTTCTGTTGCTTTCATAATGGAATTTCTGAACAAGTTCCAGATCCAGGACGAGAAAGCTAAACAGAAATCATTAATTAGGGTCCTAAGGGGCAAATTAATTACACTAAATGTTAATGTACATTTGCTCCTTAACCATTGGAACGAAGCCCATATTACCTATGCAAGCTTTTAAATTATCAGATACTTACTATCTCTATCAGCTTACAACGTGCTTTCGTGCCATAGTATACAATGATGTCATCACGGGACCAACGAAAAAGATGATCATGCGTTTCTATTTCACAATGAAAGTCGTAAAAATACATAAGCAAAAAATAAAAAATAAAAAGGAAACAAAACAAAAAGTTTGCAATTCGTATACTTGGTTGAGAAAAACAGTAAGGCTAGGCATTCACAAAATCAAAAGACAGAAAGGATCATGGCTAACCAGTAGAGGGAAAATCGAAAAATAGACTGTACATTTTTTTGGTTGTTACTATTTTAAGCCACCAATTTTAGTTATTTCAGCTACTATTTTCTAATTTTGACCATTTTACCCCAGTCATTTTTCCAATGAGTAACTTGACTAGAGAGAAAATTAAAAAAAATTGAAAACTTTAAAAAAAAAAAAATTAAAAAACCGGCCGAGCGTGCAAGGAACCCGTCCGGAGTTTGTCCGGGACTGGTGGATAGGCCGTTCTCTTGTTTGCCCGAACGGATGCATTGCCCGTCCCGAGACTCGGGACGAGTGAACCGCCCGTCCGCCTTAAACCCGGGACGGGTGTTGATATGCTGATATTTTAACGATTTATTATATCCCTAATTTGTGATTTTTGTAATATATTTGAGTACAAATATGCTATTTATATTATTTTATCTTTATTTGTAGGTTTTGTACTCAAATGGAAGAATTGTTGAAATTTTGGGTTAAAATGAAGAGAAAAAGCAACTCAAAAGGAGAATTGAAGATTTGATAAATTGACAAGGAAGAAATTGAATCACTTGAAGAGTTGGAGGAATTTTAATTTAAATTGACTTGAAAAAAAAATAACTTTCTTATTGTTGAAGAAATAGGGTTTGAGGAAATCCTATAAAAAGAGGACTAGGCTTTTATTTTTGGGGGAGTCTTAACAAAAAAAAAAAAATACTCCACCTTTCCTCCACTCCCACGCCGACCACCATCTCCACCACCTTGCTTCCTTGCTACCCCGCCGACCTCCACCACCATCAGCACCTTAATCATCATCATAACCAAAGCACACACCTCACCTTGCTCAACTCCCACGCACCACCTTCCTGCCCACGCAGCCCAAAACCCTACGCCTCATCACCAAATCAGCTCCTCTCAGTCCCAAAATTCCACGCAAACCTTCTCCATCCACCAAAACCAAAACCTACTCCGAAAACTTCAGCCACCAAACTCATGCTTCCATCACCATTGACGCCTCAACATCGTTACTCTATGCATCATAATCGGAGGAGGAAGCAAGCAACTTCAGACTCAACTTTTGGCCTACTTTGTGACGTCTGTGAGATTTAACCTACTTGATATTTCGTATAGTTCCCGAGTAGCATGATAGATAATGAAAATTGTATTAAATTGAAAGTTAGCTAGGTTAGCATTAAACTTACAAATAAATAAAACAACAATATAAACAGGAAAATTTAACACTTTTAGGTTAATAGATGCCAAGATAATTGAAATGGACAAATTCGATAAATTAGGATAATTTTTTTTGAGAACGCCAAAAAAAAAACGGGAAGAGATCTATTACTAATCTAAATGTTATTAATTTAAATATGTTATTCTAGTGCCTTGGAGGCTTTATGTTAAATTAATTTTGTTTCATGGAGGAAATTTGAAGTACACTTTGTACTTTCATTCGTGGTAGATATTGCATGGGTGTGTATAATGGGAATGTGGTTAGAAACAAAAAAATGCAATGATTAGGCCTTGAATTTTTTAAAAAAAACAAGGGAGGACAAACTAGAAGATTTTAAATAATAGAAACCAAAGAGGTTCTAGACCCATAGCTTAACACCGGGAAGGTTACAAGCTTGAGGTGTCCATTTTTCAGCTTAATCTGCTGAACTTCCACGCAAGAAAACCTTAGGAAGTAAGCTAAGGATAATAATAATAATAATAATAATAATAATAATAATAATAATAATAAAGTTTTATAGGTTAACCGCCTAAAGGAGCCTTCCTTAGACTCATTAATATAAAAGCAGGGAGGGGGGAAAATATGTAGATAGGAGAGCTTAGGGAGGTAGAAAAAAAAGAAGAAGAAGAAGAAAAGAGAGAGTGAGGGGAGAGGGAAAGCGAAGGAGCAGGAACCGAAGAAGAAGCAGCTCGTTTCGGTTTCGATTTCGTGTGTTCTTGTCCTCCGTTACGGTGTAAGCAGGTAATTTAATTTCCCTTCTCCCCTTATGGGAAGATAGATGATGTTGTCCTTCCTCTTATTTGTGGATTTAAGTTGACATGGGAAGCATGAACATGCACTTGATGAGAATAATGACTTGAGTGTTATAATTTAACTAGTCGGGGGAGGAGTTAGTTTTAGCCGGAAACAATGTGGGTTGATATTGATTCTGAAACTTAAGGAGATGCAATAAACTGTAGAATTCAGTTATTAGAGCTGGTTAGTCTTGGCTTTAGGAAAAAAAAAAGGTAAACAACTGCCGAACGGCAACTGAAATCGAACGACAACAAGGGGTCATTAGAAACCGATCTTCCCTTGTTGCAGTTGAGGAAGTAGCTGCGTTTGAAGGCTCTCGCTGCTTAGACGACTTATAGGGAAGAGAAGAATATATAACTATGCGTTTGAAAATTTTAGAATCGAGCTCAACCAAAGACACCGAAGTCGATCTTTAATTGTAACAATTAGACGGTCACCTCTACATAGGTTCTTACTGTTAATCTTGGAACCAATTGAGCCTAAGAAAACCAT